AATATTTTTTAAAACGAAGTTTTAAAACTAATATCTTAAGACTGTCACTGTTATATTTTTTGTCATACATAGATAAAGAATACGTGAAATAAGAAATTGAATTTTAAAAATAAAAATTGGAAAAGTTGAAATTTTAGAATTATTCTTTGGATAGGATTTGAAATCTTTTTTTATTTGTCACTATTTGCCCAAAAACGAAAAATAAAGGTAGTTTACTCTTGTTTTTTTAACTCCCCTGTATAATATTTTTAAATTTAAAGTCAATAGACTTTTTAAAACAAGCAGAATTCTGTTAACTTTTTATGAATAATGACTTTTGTCGAATAAAAAATTTAGTCCATTTGCCATCTTGGACATACTGTAAAGCTTGGGGTAAAAAAATCGAATATATTTATTTTTAATTCCACACTAAAAATTGGTTCTCAGGCATGTCTAAAAAGTGCTCACCAAATTTGAGCTCTTAATATTAATAGGAAGATCCTCCTCATTACAGTTTTCCATTTTTTCTTTAGTCCCTTATAAAAAAGACCATATCTCATTATTAATCAATCGTTTAATAAAATCTTTATATATATTTTTGTAGAAAATTTAATACTCTTCAAAAACGACTAATATGTTTAAGCGATTACTTTAACCATTTAAAAGATATTTAAGATCAGAGTTTGAAGAATTTATAATTTTTTTTAATAATTTTGTAACTCATTAAAAATAATTATTATCAAATGAGTTCTATACAAATATCTTCTCAACGTTTATATTTTTTTAAAAATTCTTCAAACTTTGATCTTAAATATCTTTTAAATTGTTAGAGTAATCGCTTAAACCCATCAGTCCCTTTTTGTAGAGCATTCAATTTATTACTAAAATACGTATAAATAATTAAACGATTGGTTAATAATAAAATATGGGACTAAAGAAAAAATGGAAAACTGTAATGAGGATATTAAAAAATATATTCTATTTTTTAAAGCTATATACAGTTGGTTTTTTAGACGATCCTTTTCTATAGTGGATCACTCCATGTTTGGTTTTTTCATCTTAAAGTTTGCTGTCTGCTTACATTTTTAGATCATTATGTCATCTTATTTTTGACCTTTCTCTCCTCTACTGGTCTTCTTATTTTTCTTCCTATAATTTGATTGCACATGATTTTATCTATTTCATGGTTCATTAGTTTTCGTAACTCCTCCTATTTTAACTGGTCCGTATTTTTAAAAACATCTTAATTTCCCTTTTTCTTTGCTTGCCATTGTCTCTCCGGCATAGGTATTGTTAGTACTAACTAAGGCGTAACACAGCGTGTTCACCCCTGTAAGATACACGAAATAGATACCGCTTATCATTAAAACAATCCCCAGATAATGTATATATCATAACATTCCCTCTATTTCATTTTTGACAAATAACGTCCTGTCCATATCTGTTCATCAATATTAAACTTCTATAAACGCACAAATTCAAACAATACACACCTGTGACTAGAGAAAGAGTCCCAACGAGGAACCTTGCGGAACATTTGATTCGAAAAACATGTTTTATTTATCTGCATTTTGTTAAGCTGCCTTGTTTTACATGATACACACATTCGTTTTGCGCATAATTATTGCATTTCCTTTATGTGGGTCTTGAACGTGGAAAAATAACCAGTCATCAATCAAAAAATTTAATGCAACGTATTGCATATTTTAATTTGAACATTAATTATTTTAGGATGTTACACCTGTGGGTGTGCTAAAGAAAATTGTTTCTATACAAAGCAATTTCAAGAAACATCCTTGTTAGGACCTCTTGGTGTCTTTGCACGAACAGCAGTGAGATGTTTTGGCTACTGTTGCTTGTGAAATTCAAATCAGCAAGCAAATGAGGCGGTATATATGCATAGGGCAGGAATGACTGGACGTATTTTTAATACCTTACCATGTTTTTGAGATTGCTAATCGAGGTGGCGGCTTTTTCAAGCGCCGTCATCTTTTGTGGACTTCCGGTTTGTGTCGAGGAAATTATAAATGTACAACGTTGTTAACTGAAATTCATTTACACCGCGATGAATATGCTAAAACATTTACAAGCAATCATTTTGGTTTGTTTTGTGTGGAGGCTAATTTGAATTTTATCCAATGAGAATGTTTTGCAATCTAAATGTAAAACTATTGTCTGTTTATTGCAGGTAAAGTTGATTTATATATGGTTGCGTGCATTAAACTTAATACACTCTACTATGTTTATTTAATATTTTAATTGGTGGTATTTAACTTGCAAATACATACGTTCAATAATAGATTTTAGCACTTAGCGGTCTCTAGCGGGTGCACACCAACGTTGATGATAATTTTTTAATTATACCTTTTGCGATGAGAAAAAGAAAAATCTTTCAACGGAAAACCTTATTTCATAAACAATTTTACTAATTAAAAATTGGTGGAGCATTATTTGTATCAAGATCAAACTGTAACATCTATGTTAAGCGTTATTATTAAAAATTCTGAATTAACATACGTACTTAGATTAAATAAATGATACTGTTGGTTATATTAACGATCGCTGCTTTTTTGAAATCCATTAATAACCAGCAAGAGATTCATCATGTAAGATAAAGTTTACATGATTTGTACATAGAAGTAATCACGATATGATATATACACCTTGTTATGTAAATTCTATAAAATACTTATCTGCATTTTTGATTCAAAACTTATATTAAGGGAATTGTATTAATTGTACCATAACCTTTTAATTTCCTTCTACATCATCACCACCTTGAGTATAAATTTTGGATTTACGTTCAAAACCGGAAACTGAAATCATAAAAATAATAATAACTCCTCATGAAATTGTCACGTTACAATTTGTTCACTAGTTATTTACATAAAATTATACAAGCAACCGTTTTTTATGTCCGAATATTTAATGATAAAGGAAATAAAAATAACACGTTCTCGATGCACCAATCTGACCTCTGGACTTTTTATAGGCGAGCAGGTGTAAATTACCTTCATCACTGCACCTTTATCGAAAATCTCTACAAAAGTTACCAATTGATCGAATTAAAACAGCGTTAAATGTGCTTAAAGGGGCCCAAGATGTGATTAATGAACTAGTGGCAACTTAACCATAACTCCAGGGTATGGAGGCAACCTAATAATTAAACAACTCGATTAAGAACATAAAAATAATTAAACAGCTCTTAATTGCCGCATTTGCGCGTAATATGCCGACACATTTCGCAAGGTCATTAGCTCAATTTTAAATCACTGTTATGAGTTGGATTAGTAATTTCAGCATCAGGATTTATGAAGTTCATCAAACATTCACCACGGAACTAACAAATTTGTTCAAATTTGTCACTGTATTTCGTTCGATAAGTGTTCTTTCTTAATCAGGCACCGGTCTTTTGGAACTTATCATGTAGTGTGGATATCGTCTCAAACAAACTGTCTACTACTTACAGTCACAGCGGTGTCACAGTGAACGTAGCCTATTAGTTCCATCTACCGTCCAAAGGAAGCTTTCGACATAAACACTCTCCAGAAATTAATGAACAAACATTTTGCAGTCAATTTTTCCCCTGAATCTGAAAACTGTAATCAAAAGTTATAAAAGTAAAACAGTTTTTGAGATATTGTCAATTTTCCATATAATATAAAATTGACTATATCTTAAAAATTCCTCTACATTCATAATTTTTGACGGTATTTTTGAATTCAGGGGACAATTTTACATAAGAATTGGCCTTTAAATGTTGGGTTGGTTAACCATGGTATAAGTGAAAAAGCAGCCACTAATAACTGTAATAACTAATCTCACCGCTGTGGCTGTACCTGCTGCATATAAGTAGCAAAAAATAGTTCGTTTAAGACATGTCATGACTACCCGACACTGAAGAGGTCCAAAAGACAGTTTTTAATAAGCGGAAAAGTTTGCTACCTCTCACCCTTGTTTGTCCAAATATACGGTACATAAGTAGATATGTTTTCTATGGTAATTGTTCTTGTTTAAAATGTTCCTAACTGTGATTTCACCCAAGGACAATTTCACAATGCTTAAACTAATTATTCAAACGTGTGCTGGAAGGCAAATTGCGGAAGGCATTAGTCCCAACATGCAAAACCTCATAATCATTTAAATTATGTTGATGCGACAATGACATTTATGGTTTTTGTTGTTTTGGATCTGTTACAAAACTAAATGAGGCTTAATATGAATTTTATGCTTCGTATGAGCCGCTAAATAAGTCATCATTTGGGTGTTCCGCAAGGTTATCTAATTGGGGCGCTATGCGGCATCGAAGTCCGCGGCGTTGTCAAACTTCCGTTGCGTGAGATTTGTTAATAACGTGCTAACAAATGGCTTTTTATTTCACCTGCTTGAATGGGTTAAATATAATCAACTATCCAATTTGTTTGCAAAGTGTAATGTGCGATTATTTTTTACGATAAGCATATTCATTAAAAAATCGTCGATACGGGCCTGTGTGTGTAATTTAAAATTATTTAGCACCGAGAGAATAAAATTTAAATATGGAATTTACTTTAAAGTTTAAACCCATACCCAGCGTGCGAGTTTTGACGGTTATATGGTTATGGCCTATTGGGATTCTTTTTGTGCTCTAAACTGGTCACACTTCTGTTTATATTCGAAATTAACATACGAAATATGTGACTACTTAACGGCCACAACTTCCATTAAGTCTGAAATAACGCACCTATTAATTTAATTATTATTATATTCCAAAAATTTTAATCGTAAGACCATAAATATTATCTCATTATTTAATGAAATCATCGGTACTAATTAGAAAGCAAGATTTATTACATCTCGCCTCTATTAAACAAGTATTTATTGTATTGTTTAACACGTGTCGTGCAACTTACGTATGAATTGATAACAACGTAAAATGTTAATAGCAATTCTTATCTACCTGTGGCTTGCACTCGCTAACCTTGAACACACGAGTCTACCAAATTTATTTCTATTAAAGCGTTCTTTTTCTATTGTTGCAGACGGATGTTTCCCACCCTTAGAGTGTCTTTCACAGGCATCAGGGCTGACCAAAGATACGCAGTCCTCCTGGACATCGTACCGGTGGACAACAAGAGATATCGCTATGCCTACCACCGGTCCTCGTGGCTGGTGGCAGGAAAGGCCGATCCTCCTGCACCTTGCAGGATCTACGCGCACCCCGACTCGCCTTACTCCGGCGAACAACTCAGAAAACAAGTCGTCAGCTTCGAGAAGGTCAAGTTGACCAACAACGAAATGGATAAAAATGGACAGGTAAGAACACTTAAAGGTTTTAATGCAAGAAGAAGATACATTAACGCAAAGATTTTTTTATTCGACCACAATTAACTGTATTGTATGGTTATTTGTCTTGTGGTTCCATTAAATCATTAAAATACACCAACTTTTGACATATTTTTGAAAAAAAATGTTTCCTAACTTAATAATACCCTTAAATTTGGAAAAAGCTACTCCTGAATAATTACACATTTAATACTGCATATATTATTATTACGGCCAGAGTTAGTGTGATCAATGGGGTAGTTAAATTTTTTCTGACCTATACTTTTTATGATTTTATTCAAGGCGTTTTGTAATATTAAACATTTCTGTGAAATCAGAATTTCAATTGAGTTTAGCGTTTTCGAGATATTTACAAAAAATATACATTTTTATGACGTCACAAACCTCGCCATGTGACCAACATTCTAAGATTTCTATTGGTTGAAAATTACCCTGTTGTCAAGTTGTCTTGTTAATGATTTCATTCGGTTATGTCAGAAAATACCCGAAGAGGTTATGTACAAATACTGTCACTGTCAGTTGAGTGAAAGAAGAAGAAGAGGAGGTTCAAGAAAATTCTGAAATTAAAAGTTTTATTGATAGGTTTACACATTGAAACACCGCGTGAAACCTAATAAAATGTAATAAATAGGTACCTAATAACTGTCTAAAGCAGAGTTTAATATATTTCATAGAAAAAAGTGGCAAAATAAAGCTGAAAATGAATGAAATAAATTTACAAAAAATAACAGTAAATGTAAGTTAACAATGGTATTTATGATATTTGTGTATAGTTTTTATAAAACTTGCATCCCTGATGATGAGCATCAAAACCTTACAACCAGTACAATAAATATATCTTCTGTGTAGAGAAACATATGGTCACCAAATTCATTACTCTCTTAAAATGAATTAGTCAAAAATAACTAATTATAAGTCATATTTGACTAATTGTCATAGTGAAAAAGCAGTCACTAATAATTAGTCAAATTCCACTGAATGAAATAGTCAAATTAGTAAATTTAAATTTAAAAAAAGTTTTGACCCAGCCTGGGATTGAACTCAGGTCTGTCACTTGACAAGTTTGTCAAGCTAACGTCTTAACGCATTCGGCTGTCAGCCGCTATTATAAAAATTAATTTTATTTGTCAATAAATATGGTTCATAATATTTTAAAGTTTAATATATTATTTGTCTTGCTATTTTGAGCTAAACTTTTTGCATCTTTATTTGTTTTATGGGTCATTTAACCATGGAGAGGTACCTATATGCATTTGATTCAAATAATACTTTGTTGTTGGCCGTAAACGACTAAAGAAATTAGTTACTTTTAACTGTCAGAAATAGTCAAATATGGTGACTAATCTTAAATTAGTCAAACTTTAACTATTTACATAGTAAAAAATAACTATTTAAAAGTGAAAACGACTATTTTATTAGTAAAAAATGCTTTTACTAATTCAAATAGTAGAATTTTGACTATTTCATTTTTAGAGAGTAAGTACCTACATATCTTCCTTATTACGAGGTATCATATTACTCTTTGAGTCCAAGATATATCTAAAAGAATATAAAGAACTAGGCATTATACTAATGAAATGCATTTACGACAAAATATGATTATAATTATAGGTACTTACTTTATTTGTTTAAAAGCTCCAATGTTCAATGTAACCAACCATTCCACAAGATTCCTCTGCTTTGGAGTCCGTTATTAATAAATCACTTATCTAATATCAATTACAAATAACATAACAATAACATTGATTTTCAATAATCTAAATTAAAAAAAAACATAACCCGAAAAATAGAAACGTCAAAAAATCAATTCTTCTTCTTCTTCTCAACTAAAATTTTAGATCAAGTAGTTTTAAAACTAAAATATTATAACGTGGCGCCATCTATCGTAAGAATCTTAAACTAAACACCATAGAAAAAGCTGGCAACGTTGTCAATGGCCTAGTGACGTAATTAGGAGACTTTTTTTTGTAAATATCTCGAAAACGGTAAACTCAATTGAAATTCCGATTTCACAAAGATGTTTAAAAATACAAAACGCCTTGAATAAAAGCATAAAAAGTATAGGTCAGAAAAAATTTAACTACCCCATTATGATTCTTTTGGTGCAAGATTTTTTGAAATCTGTTCAAAATTAACGAAGATATCTAATTTTAAAATAAACACTTTCCCCTATGCCTTTTTGTTAGTAATCATTCAAATTTAATAGTAATATTACATTATAATGTTGCTTAGAGTTACCTTTAAATATCAAAACACATCAACTTTAACATTTATGTGATAAAAATGTTTTCCTAACTCAATAATGCCCTTGCAGTTGGAAAAGCTTTGGAAAAAGCTAGTCCTGAATAATTTCACATTTAATATTATTATTCCTTTTGTCAAAAGTTCTAAAACTATCGTAATGTTATTAATCATACTAAACGTGACCTTGACAAAAGGAATAATAATATTAAAAGTGGAATTATTCAGGACTAGCTTTTTCCAAGGCTTTTTCCAACTGCAAGGGCATTATTGAGTTAGGAAAACATTTTTAGGTATCACAGAAAAAAAGGTTCTAAATTAGAACCTTTTTTTTGTAACATTGAGTATTCCGGCTTAGTTTAACTAATTTTGGGCCTCTGATATTAAAAATGTCAAATCGTTTTGTTCTAGGACGTCTAGGATTTAAAATAATTGCGTAATAAAATGCTCTGCTCAATCACCTCAAAATATAAATTTTTTGTTAATATTTTAATTGTTTATTAAATTATTTTAGGTACCTTAAATTTATCTTGAACGTACTGGAGTAATCAGTACGTCAAATAGATAATAGCGGTATGGCATTTAATAATATTAATAATAATAATAATAATAATAATTATAAACATTTGACATTGGAAAAAATATTTGACATTTATTATTATTAATTATTGAATTAAAATGGCAACAAAGTAAAAGTTTCGGTACGAACATTATCTTGGACAATTCCACTCCAGTCAATTTAAACATTTTAAAACTGTCCAAAATACGATTTCTGGCGGATAAAAAGGAAGGAACAGAAGTGCAAGTGACCAAAATTTAATAACTTTACTGTTTTTTAATCTTACATTTTTAAATCGTAATAAATATCAAATTGAATTATAATTATGCTTAATCCTTATCATCGTCGTACGTCTTGTGCTGCAAATTCCAGTAAATGTCTTCTAGCCTCTTTTTGCAATGCCAATGCTCTAGATTTACAGTTACTTGGTAAAATTGTTTTCCATGTTCATCAGATTTAGTAGGTGATAATATTTAATAAATTTAAGATTATAAATTGAATTTTTGGGTTTTTTTAGACGTAATGTGAATAAAAAAATATCAAATATTTGTCGTTGATAATGTTTAAACCGAAACCCGTTTAATTTGGTGCTTTTTCAATATAGTAATTAAAAAAACAACACAAAAATTAAAAAAATACGTTTTACAAAAAAGAATTTTAGTTTTGTTATTTAAAATTCCTTTGGTCTAAATATTTTTTATGAGGGGTATAATCCTACTACTGCTACAATGAAACAAAAAATTCAATATATTTGGTGCGATTTTTTTTTAAATTCACGAAGATAAATTTAAAATCAACACTTTCATTTAAGCTACTACTACATTTAAGCTACTAATTATACAAATTTAATTGTAATGTTGCTTGCATTAAAATCATAAAATACATCTACTTTCTTTATTTTTGTGATTCAAATGTTGGTTTACTTGATAATACCCTTGCAGTTGGAAAAAGCTACTCCTGAATAATTCCACATTTATTATTATCATTATTACATTTCTCACGAAGGTGTTTATTTGTAATGGTGTTAATGATAAATATAAGTGATCTAGGATTCCATGCGGCAAGTGGGTAAAAAAGATAGAATCAATAGTATACAGTGCATTGCAGGTAGTAAGAATAATTTATATTAAATATAAAATAAAACATAATGACTCATAAAAACTTATCATTACCGTGGCATAAAGGATGCAAAAGCTTATCGTTGCGTGATTCTTTATTGTAATTAAGTTTATAAACTCTAGAAACAATCTTTATACTAAACAAATTTATTGTTATTGAAATTCAGCTCATTAAAATCGTATTAAAATTTTGCTTTTCTAATTATTTCATATTCATAAGTTCTTAGCTGTATAGATAGTTATGAAGCAGGCCAAGTTTTGTATTTGATTGACACATGTCAAACGTCACACAATTATGTAAAAACGTTGGGGAGGTACGAAAAGTCAATTGATTGCAAAATTGAGGGAGGTTAGCCCAGGTAAAATCCATGAAAAATGATGCGATCTGACAGCTGGAAAATTAGTTTTTAAAAGGTTTTGGAATCGAGAAAGTTGGTCGTTATAAATGCAAATAGAAGAGTGAGAAAATTAATTGGCACTCTTTTAGTCTAATGAATGAAATTGATTCAGACATTCAGCGATAAACAATTAAGTTTACGGCCGCGCCGGGGCATTTTAATGATGTTCAATCATCGAAAAATTAAAAGAAAATTTAATATCGTACTTTATGTTCAGTATTTAACAGGAATCCTGTTATGAATGGGCCCCCCTGTAGCACACAAACGCTCATATTTCAATCTGCTACGAATGGCTTTTAAACGAGATGGCTTGTTAGTCTCTCTAGGTGAGAAATTTGTTGTCCCTTGGACTCCCTGAAGTGAACCAACGTGGCTCAGCTCTGCGCCTCGCCGCATCTCTACCCACCGGAACATTTTTAATTTCGCTCAGGAATACTTCTACATTATTTTAACATTTCGAAGCATCTAATAAGCACGATTTAATTTACCACACAACGCTCTGAATCTACTCCAAAGTGTTTCAATCTTCAATTCTTATTCTTCCTTAGTTGCTTCTTCGAGTTTGACAAAAAGAAACCTTCAGAAATATTAAAACCATCTTTTAAATATTTATATCATGTGATAAATTTTTACCAAACAACCCTCTAAATTTAG